ATTTGTCTCTTTCTTGGAGTTGGAATTGTCTCAGATTATGACTACAGGACCTGATAGGTAGATGAATACTCTACAAATAAATAAGGGTTCTAAGCCACCTTCCTGATGCCTTAGATTTCCCCAGAAACATAATATCGAAATCAATTGAAGTACAAAATTGGAAATGTTGAAAAATTACCCATTTTTCTCTTAAGAAAAACAATGTTGGCCGGGCGGTGGTGGCGCACGCCTTTAATCCCAGCACTCAGGAGGCAGAGGCAGGCGGATCTCTGTGAGTTCGAGACCAGCCTGGTCTACAGAGCTAGTTCCAGGACAGACAGGTTCCAAAGTCACAGAGAAACCCTGTCTCGAAAAACCAAAAAAAAAAAAAAAAACAAAAACAAAAACAAAAACAAAACAAAACACAAAACAAACAAACAAACAAAAAAAAACAATGTTGTCCCACAGAGTAGAGTGACATATTAAAGTTCTTTCCAATTTATTATTGGGACACTGAGCTTAGTTAGTGTTTTATGGAGAAAATAGAGAACTGAGCATAAATGATATACAAAAAGCCTCAGAAAACTTAAATTAATCTTTTTGTTTTATTTCTAAGAGTTATATGTGTTCACCAGCCTGGTGTATAGAGTGAGTTCTAGGACAGGCAGGGCTACACAGAACCCACCCCCACCCCCCGCCGCAATAAAGGCTGATTATATATTAAAATACTGAGTAAAATAAATATTATTGTACTCCTGAGTCTTGATCGATATCAAATTTCAATGAATTTGATATCATAAGTCAACTGTTTACTTCATTTACACATAAAGAAGCTGTATCTAAGCAAAGTCTCCCAAAGACACAAAAGCTGCGTTTTAGTCCAGATAGAACTGTTTCCTGATTTCTAATCTGAAGCCGGGCCACACCATGCTCACTATCCCTGCTGAAGCCCACTCTTGGGTTCCTTCTGTCTTCAGCTTCCGAAGTTCTCCTGAAGTCAGTTCAAATCCAGTCACCCTTCATACCAGCTCAACACAGAACCATCCCTACCACCAGAGGGACACACACACACTGTGTGTGCATGGGTGTGTGAGTGCATGCGGGCATGCATGTGTATGTGTGTGCGCACGCGCGTTGTATGTGTCTGTGCACGCGTGTTGTATGTGCGTGTGCATGTGTGTTGTATGTGTGTGCATGCGTGTTGTATGTGTGTGTGCATGCGTGTTGTATGTGTGTGCATGCGTGTTGTATGAGTGTGTGCATGCGTGTTGTATGTGTGTGTGCATGCGTGTTGTGTGTGTGTGCATGCGTGTTGTGTGTGTGTGTGCACGAATGCACGTGTGCAACAGAGCTCTGGGACTAACTTGGTGTGTAATAGCCACAATAAAAGAGCTTTTTGGATAGTTATTAGAAGTGGGGAAACACAAAAACATTAAAATGTAAATTTCTCAGTTAAGCATTTTTCTAAATACAAAAAAATTATCCTCAAACCTGCATTTCTATTGTACCCTAGAGAAGTCCACCTTCTAAACCTAAGTCTATAGCTAATATGTTTTTTATCAACAGTTTAAAAAGAACTGTTATGATGTTGCGAAATCTATACTTACCATGTCCTCTTTACAAATTCTATTTAATTCCCTCCTCAATGCCAAGAAATTCTGAAATTTAAACTATTTTCAAGATATTTTTAATCAAGCTTCAACCCCTACATCTTCTAATACTCGTTATAAAACACAGAGGACGCAAGCAATATGAAATAAGACGGAATGTCCTCGAACACCTTAGCTTCCCTGTATCTAAAACCACAAACCTCACGCTGAGCAGTCGTGGTGAAGGGCATGCACCTTTAACCCCAGCTCTGGGAGGCAGATGTGAATCTCTGAGTTTGGGGTCATCCTCGTCTCTAGAGCCAGTTCCAGAACAGCCGAGGCCAGCGAGACACAGAGAAATCCCATCTCAAACTAAACCAGAAGCCACCAAAAAACCAAACCTCAGAATTTGATATGTTTTTATGTTCTTATAGAAGCTAAGAAGCGGGTGAGCTGTCACCTATGTGTGGACACTCTCCTATGCACCTCCTATACTAAGAGGTCCCTGCCCCACAAGGAGGTAACAAAGGGTCTTAAAGGGAATGGCTTTGCCAGTTGAGGGAGGGTATAAAATCATAATGAAAGAAAAAAAAAACCCTCAGCTGCTGGGATAAGACAAAGCAATCCCTTTAAGACCATTTGCTGCCTGATTTTCTGGTACTTTTCGCCTTCGCTTGATTGACTCATTCACACTTTTTTACCTGACCTGTTTCATGCCACACTTGTGAGTCGGTGAGGGGTAGAGGGAGGGAGGCGAGAGAACTGGCCTGCTGTCAGCGACTGTAGGCCCTTTAGCTGACTGACCTTGAGGGAGTTGCGCAGCCCCTCTTTGCAGGGCGCTAAATGAGAACCGCATTACCTCACCAGGTGTTGTGGAGAGGAACCGAGATAGTAATATCTGATAAGAACCTTGTCTCCTACCTGCCACTTGTGTCCTGCTCTAAGGGAAGGTGGCTTTGGTCATGTGTGCTGCCCCAGGGCAGATAACACTAATGAGATGTCTCTGATGGGCATTCATTCTTGGGAGAGGCTTCTTTGCAAATGTTGCGATAATTTTCGCCAGTGGTGATTTCAAATCGTGTGGGCCGAGAGGGCTTGGTCCAGATCCTGTGTAAAAGACTTCTTGTTTTTTTTCCTTAAAGGTCTTTAACGACACTAATGTCTCCGTAAGCACAACTCAAGGGCCTGAGATCAGGGAATTGCCCAGGGATTATCTTGAGCCCGGTGCACTCCTAGATGACGTGTAACGGTAATTAGTCATTTTCTGAGACTTGACAAAACGAAAATCAACAGTATAAAAGTAGTATTTTCAGAAATAAAACAAAACAAGACAAAGAGCGGGTGCAGTGCCCATTCCAAGGAAGGCCTTGGGGACGCACGTCAGGTGGTCGCTTCTGCACCGGGCCCGGGAACTGGGTCCTAAATGGAACATTTTTACCTTTAGCCCAGAATGCAAACTTTTCGACTAGAAATTCACAACCAGCTTAGAAGGAATTAGCTCCAAGGTGGTTTTTAGAAACAGGCACGCCGTCCGTCCGCAGCGCCCGAGGCAGGTGACTTGGGTAGGTGTGCACACTGAGAACTCCTGGGATGGATGAAGTCCCCCCCCCCACACACACACACACCAAGAGATCTGAGATTTTCGCGCTCTCTTCTGTGAGGGCTGCAAGTGACCGACCGAGAAACAGAAAAGGGCAGCAAACCAAAAGAAACTGAGCGTGTAGCAGAGGCCTGAGTTTCTTTTTAGAGCGCCTTAGGAAGGCAAGGCTGTGTCCAGGATTGTGGTCAGTCAGCATCCTCCCTTGGCTTGAGCTGAAAACAAACAATGGGATGACCTTTGTCCTGTAACAGTTTGGTTAAAGAGCAGAAGGAAGGACTGTGGAAAAAGGCTGAGAGGCCAAAATGTTTATTCAGTGACATTCATATTTGTTTTCTGGCTATATATGGAGACAATTAAACAATTAGCATAGCTATCTGCTTTAGTTTCCACTATGATGGGCAAGATTGGATTTCTAGTCTCTTCTTTCTGAATATCTGGCCTACATTAATCCCAATCCACACTAATATGGGAATAGGGCAGCCTTTCCTTTTAGGAAACATGGGGTAAAACTCACCACTTATATCATTTTAAAAGGCACAGTTTTGCCATTGTTGATGACTTGGCCACTTTTTTATGGTGTTACACCACTGTCAAGACTTTCGTCGTCTCAAAAAGACACCCACGGCCCTGAAGTCAACTATTACTTTATATTTATGGATTTGACATATATATATATATATATATATATATATATATATATATATATATATATAATTTGGAATCGTCTGCAGGGAGGTCAGAAGGCATTCATAGAAATCTTGTCAAGATCGTATCTCTTCGGGACACTCCACCGAAATGAAGGCCTGTGAGCACACACTCCTTATCAGTTAATGGTCTATGACACGAAGGAGAAGCGTGAACTTGAACTTATCAAGAGTCCACTCCGTTTTAAAATGACAGAAATGGCAATAATGAGGCAGGCACTTGGGCAGGAACTCGGCTTTACAGGGAAAGCTCTGCATCCAGCGGGAGCTGTGGCCTCAGATTTGAGGCCTTCCTGTAATAGCTGGTGATAACCCCACGGTGTTTGTTCCTTCTCATCTGTCTTCAGGGCAGTGGAGTGTGGTGACCATTCCCTGTGCTGTCTTCATTCTGGATGGCATCCGAAACAGCAGAGGCGACCAAGGCTCTCTGGAGGTAAGTCCAGACACAACTTGGAAATAAAAGAATAAAAACCCCGTTTACTTCCCAACCATAAATGTTTGTTAACAGCTTCCAATAAGAGTACATTTTATTCTGGATGGAATACTTAAAAGGTTGCCTTGGGAACAGACAAGCTATGAATAGCTCAGTGGTGACACATGCCTGTCATTCCATCACTAGAGAGGCTGAGGCAGGGGCATTGTGAGTTCAAAGCTGGTATGAGTAACTCATAAACAAAATGTTGAAAACGAGTTGAGAAATGCCTCTTGGGTACCTGTTCTTTGCTTTTGAAAACTGGTTGAAAACATGCATGGCTCCTTGAGTTATGATTAAGTTGACAAGAAAGTTATATATTCTGTTCTGAGAGAAAAAAAATTCATTTTGCATGAAATTTTACTTCGGAGCAGTCAAATGTTTCTTTGGAAGGAGAAAGAGTCGGCGAGGTCTCGTGACTGTAGCTTTCTTATCGGGAAGGTCAAGGCTAGGAAACTCGGTCACTTCGTGCCTCACAAGTGTTTTGAGCGTTTTTAATTCCAGTTTCTGTTTTAACTTCTTCTATGTTTTGAGCTCCAGCAACACACTCCGAGTCCTCATTCTCAACGACTTGGCCAGGATTTAGGAACCCTGGCCAACGCTCAGATATCACGCTGTCTCTGGATGCTGCCTGTTCTCTTTCCTTCCTGCTTCATGGTCAGCTCCTGTCTGGTCTGCTCCACGCCCCTGGTTTCTAGGGACTCCTTGGTGACAAGGCGAACAGAAGTTCCATGTCACACTTCGAGGCACATAGCAGCTCAGCTGTTTCTCCAAGTCCGCAGTAAATAATCTTCACGGATTGAAAGTTAAGACACCTGGAGATTGGGGACAGCTCAACACCCATGCTTAAGGCACACAGCCATTAATGTAAAGAACACAGAGGTTCTTGTTATTGGCACACGGTGACATATGAGCAAGGAATCAGGAGAGTTTGTGTTTTGCTTGAGGGTCAATAAAATTTAAAAAAAAAATAGGAAATTCTCAGTTTGTTAGATGTCCTTTTCCTGAGTACCCCATGTAAACATACCTTAGGTTTTCTTCAAAAGACGTTTGGGATACGCCACCCCATTGTACAGGTTCAGCAGACATAGCCACACCACCTCTGAGTGAGGAGAGAGAACGGAAAAGTTTTCTGTGAAAGGAGAAGAGAGCGTTTTTTTTTGTTGTTGTTGTTTTTTTTTGTTTTTTTTTTTGCAAAGGCGGAGAAGCTGTTGAGAGCAGTAAACGGTGAGTCCCCTATCTCTGCTCTGCAGCCCTCATCCCAACGAATCCAAAAGCACCCCGCCCGCAAAGACCTTTGGGGCTTCTGATAGAGAGTCCAGATACAAGGCCCGTGCTCCTGAGTGGTTCTCCTCATTAGCAGGTGTCATTAGGCCCGCGCTCCAAGGGTGCAAGCTGGCTGGAGTTTCAATGTGGAGGATTACTCTGGAAGAGTTGACGAGATTGACAACGGTAAGGTAAGTGGCAGCCTGGCGTGACCTGGGGATGAAGCTGAGGTCACTAGAGGCTTACACCTGGTGCATTTTTCTGTAGTTATATTTAACCCATTCCTTCTGGAGGCTACCAAGTGGCTTTAATCAGACTGGGTCAGACCCAGGGTCCCAACCGGGACAACCGGTATTCCTGGTAACCTCCTGTCTGATTCTGGGACCTGGAGAGGAGCAAAGGAGGCAGGTGTGGCGGGTTGAGAGCCCAGAGGGAAAGGACCCTGAAGGGAGCTGTCTCCTGAAGGCTCCTGCAGGACAGAAGTCTGGGCTGGAAGGCCTGTGGTCACTGACTGGGCTGTGGAGGGTTGCTCTCTGATCTCCGAGTCCCCTTCCTGCGCTTTGATTACACTGCTTTTGAGTCCCCTCTCTACAGTCTGGGGAAGGAAGACATTCTGGGTCGCAGGGAGGCCGGACGTGGAGGCCAGGAAGGCTGCTTCTGTGACGGGACTTGTATTTACTTAGCTACCGGCATTCCAAAATGTAGCTGGGGTGGGAGGCTCCTTTATTCCTCTCCAGCTCCCGCTGAGCTTTGCCTGGGGACTGGCTGGCAATCGGGAGGTCAGAGCGCAGCGCAGCGCAACGCAACGCTCTGGCACCTGCCAATCGGCCCTTTTCAGGAAACGTCTCCACGGTTGTCCCCTCGGGGTCCACGCACGGTCTCCCTGCCACGATGCGGGCTACCCGATCCCTTCTCGGGTTTCTTCTGCGGTGGCCCTGCAAAGGCGCCGGTTGTTCGCGCCCTCCGGGTGACTTCTGGCCGAGCAGCTAGCACCGGGAGGCCCGGAGCGCTGCTGGCCCAGACCTGGTGTCCTGCTGGGAGGGGCGTCCCCCGCGCTCGCGAGCTCCGCCCCCGGCTGCCTATAAGTGGTGACCCGGCCCACGGTGCGGCGGCGGCGGCGGCGGCGGCGGTGGCGGCGGCGGCGGCTGGAGCAGGCTCAGGGTCTCCGGCGGCCGGTGGATCCTCCAACCCGCTTCCATAAGGCTTTAGCTTTCCAACTTCAGCTACAGTGTTGGCTAAGTTTGGAAAGGAGACAGAGAGAGACCCCGGTGGCAGCTTTGCTGTTGATCTTTGTCCTAGTTGTCCTTTGGGGTCTTGCGGCACAAGGCTGTTGTGCTTTTAGCGGTGCTATCTCCGGTTCCTCGCACTCCCGTGAACAAGCCCCTGGGCAAGAGCAGCTACAGCAACCAATACCAAAACAAGCAAGGGGAGAGCGCCTGGTGCCATGACCAAGGCAAGAGATCAAAGCGGCCAGGAAGGATGCTGTGGTGAGTAGTATAATCCTAATGTGTCAAGAGGTGGGATTGCAGGTGGCCGGGGTGGGGGACGCAGTTCCGTGAGGGTTGACTTCTGTTTGGATGGAGGCTCCGAAGAACGTAAATTCAACGTTTGGTTAAAAAGAGCTTGCAGATCGGCAAGGATAGATAGAGTACGCTGGGCAGTGTGGAATTCCTTGCCCTGATAAACAAACCTCACCGAAGTTGAAGAATGTTGAAACAGAAGTTTCTTCACGGTGCATTAAGTCGGGCGGTTATTGGCCAAGAGGCTACTCTGGACCTCAGGGGATGGCATGAAGTAAAGCGACTGCATCTATCTGTAGGTGACCTGCTTAAACACCACAAATACGTATGACCCAAAGCAAACTCTAACCTGAGCGCAGGGGTATGGCAAAACATAGTTTTCATTTACTCTCTCTGGGCCTTTGTAGGATCCTTAGGAAACTACCTGACCTCGGCAAAATTCCTTCTCTACCTTGGCCACGCTCTCTCCACTTGGGTAAGTGAGACTGCACTCTTCCCGCGTGATTGCGCAAGCTCTGTTTACTTTCTGTGGAGACAGTTGTATTAAGCGAAATTGTTCTTAGACACATGTTTCAGCAGAATTTTTTTTTTTCGAAGACAGTTCCCATGATTATTAGTAAATGTTTCTTAATGGTGAAATGCTAATAATTAACTGAGTGAAACTGTCCATAATAAGATTGACGAGGACAGGAAAACATGCATAATTCCTAGGGTTGGCAAATTCTATTACCCCCTCCCAAACTGGAAAGATTATCCCGCGAGTCTTCTTTCTTTTCCCACGTTTAAGAAACTTTTTCTGAGGTCTGGAGAGATGGCTCAGTGGTTAAGAGCACTGACTGCATTTCCAGAGGACCCGGGTTCAATTCCTAGCACCCACATGGCGGCTCACAGCTGCCTGTAGCCCCAATTTCATGGGATCGGGCACCTTCACAGACATATGTGCAGGCAAAACACCAATGCATATAAAATAAAAGTAGATAAATTTTTAAAGAAGAAGAGGAGGAAGAAGAAAAGAAATATAACTCTTTTCTTTTGTTAAAGTCTGGTTCCAGCATGCAGCATCATGAAAATAGAATAGAATGATATACTAACAAATATTGGCCTATCAGGGTAACAGTAATATTGTAAGATTAGCTTAAGTATACCTAATCCAAGATCAAATATCTAAATGATAAAAAAATCTAATCTTCAAAGCTGTTATCAGTGGCTACTTAATATGTGGGTAGTACAAGCTGGGATAAAAACCACCTCCCAGGGAAATTAGGCATGGCTTCACAATTCTCCCATTGGTTTCTTTTTTTTTTTAAGATTTATTTATTTATATGTATACAACATTCTGCCTCGATGTATGCCCGCTTGCCAGAGGGGGGTGCAAAATCTCAATACAGATGGTTGTGAGCCACCATGTGGTTGCTGGGAATTGAACTCAGGTCCTCTGGAAGAGCAGCCAGTGCCCTTAACCTCTGAGCCATCTCTCCAGCCCTCCCATTGGTTTCTTAAGTGGCTTTGAGAAAATTCCAGAATTTCTGCTCTAGATTCCTCTATAAGCCCCCCCCCCCAAATACCCCAAAGAGGGCTGCATGTGTTCAATAGATGATTATTAGAAACCCTAAACAATTATTCTTATTGCTTAGAAGCCATGACTCTAAGCATATTCTGTGCCTTATTAACAACAACAAAGAATTTCCAGAGTCTAGTTTGAAGTGCTACTTTCTTTTAATTGACTTACCTATAAGCCATGAATGGGGGCCATCATACACAGAAATCTGTGCCCTTTGTCCTCGGGAGGGTATTAGGTTGGGTTGTTGGCTCTCTGAGAAACAGCAGCCTCAGATAACTTCCTAGAGAAGCTAACTCCTGGGTTCTGAATGCTTACCCAGGGATGACTCTGCAAATATATTCATAAACAAAGTGGAATTGACCTGAGTTTGTTTTAGCTGGTGGCATAAGAAAAAAAAAAACAGCAAAGAGCCCTTTATAAATCTAAACCAATAGCCTGTTCTTGCCATTTAATTCAGTAATATTAAGCACAAAGGGACCAGTGATGGATGAGGGTCTGGAGTCCTCCAAGAGAACCAGGGCACCTCTTTTCTAAACACTGATTAACTTCAAGGCTCATGTGACGTTTGGGTGTTAGACACATGAGAAGAGCTATGGGTGTTCCAGGTTTTTTTTTTTATTAGTTTATTTTGTATTTTGTATTGAGAAAGAAAATATAAAGCATGTTCCTAAAGAAAGGTGGAAGATGCTTGCTCTAACCTTATAGTCAATTGAGCAAATGGACGAGTCCTCGGGAGACAGAAAGATGAGATGCTACAGCAACAACTGGTTCACAGAAGGGTTAGTGTTTAGTCTTCGCTGCAAAGGGTACAGAAGGGGATGCTCTAAGTAATTAATTCTGTTTCTGTGCTTTGTCTCCTGTGTGCAGACACACACACACACACACACCACACACACAGATACATACATGCCAACACACACACACACACCACACACACGCCAACACACACACTCCACTCACACATGCATGCCAACACACACACCACATACACACCACACACATACCACACACACATGCCAATACACACACACCACATGCACACAAACACACACACCACACACATGCCAATATACACACCACACACACATGCCAACACACACAACACACACAACACATATACTCGCCAACACACACACAAATGCCAACACACAACACATACATACTTGCCAACACAACTGAACTCTGATTCCTGAGACCTTGGATATGGGGTCTTTGGGCAGAAGGTTCTCTGAGGTTAGTTTTGTGTGATCTGTGTGTTTTTTTCATTTCTGACTTCATTTCTACTAACGGGATAACACATTTCATGCTGCCGTCGGAGCACAAACCAGCTGAGAAGTAGGTGCTTTCGTTTAGGAGTTTGTAACACAATTCAGTAAGGGCTTCCGAGCAGCCACAACAAAAGCACCAATGTGAAACCGTGAAAAAGAGGGGCTTACTTCTCTGCTCACAGAGGCCTCTGTCGTAACGTAGAGTGCCACCTGCTACGTCCCTTTTCCTCATAGCCTCTGCTACCCCCTGTCCTGTGCCTGGTTTGCCTCGGTCTCTCTAGACTGGAATGCGGGCACCATGAAAAGGAGCCCGCTGAAGCTGTGATGCCACAGTCGCGTGGGGCACGCATCGGAAACCAGTCTAGAGGCGTTTATTAAGTGGATTGATGACTGTGGTTACTAATGCTCAGATCCAGCGTGGGTAGGAAGGCACGCAAACAAATATCAAAGTAGAGTTGGAGCGTGTGGCGGGGAGCCAGACAATGGATGCGTGAAAAGGCGGGCTGAGTACTTAGCCAGCGTTTACTTAGATGTTGCCCCGTTCTTGGGGTTTTTATAAGCACACAGTTTACCACTTCTTAATACTTGGAAGGTCTTTGGAAATTAGGATAGCCAGAGCAATTTCAACCTCATTCTCCAAGCTCTAAATCTTGTGTTCGTTTTGGATTTTGATTGGAAATTGCATCATTCTTCGCACAAAGATTTCCCTACCTCTGCAGTGTTAATGTGTGGGGTCAGGAAATGCTTCCTGATGGAATGAGGGGTGCCGGCAGTATTTCCGTACTTCAAGTTCCCTTCAGGCAGGGAGGCTGTGATACCCCCAAAGCATCTACAGACATTAGCAAGTGACCCCTAAGAATAGAATGCTCCCTAGTTGAGAATGACTTGTTTATTGTGTTAGCATGAATCAGTTTAAATTTTGGATATTTAAAGTGGTTATTTTAGTCTTATTAAAATTTAGTAGCGTTTGACTTATCAGTAAAATAATTTCCTTCCAACATATGAAGTTTATCATGAGGATTTTGCCAGAGTTAGGGAAGATCTCAGAGTGGAAGTTCTTTCACACAGGGTCAAATATGTAAGGAATTTAGTGATGATTCTGACGAAATGGTGTCTTTCCTCAATGTTAACCTAAAATGTCCGGGCTGGAACTTGTAATCTCATAGAGTGTCTCTTCTAGATAATTCATGTATTAATCTATCTGACTAATTAAAAAGTTTCTGTTAAACTTGTACCACATTTTATGCCAACTAATAGCAAAATTCCTTTTATGTTTTGGAACTATGTAAAGATATAACTCTCTGTCTCAGCTTGTTTCATGACAGAATCTACAATGTAGCTCTTGCTATTCTTGAACTCACTATGTAGACCAGGCTGGCCTCAAACTCACAGAATATCACCTGCCTCTGTCTCCCAAGTACTGGGATTAAAAGTGTGTATCACTACACCAAGCTATGTTTTCAAAACTTATCTTTACTAAAACATTAAAATAGTTGTTTACTTATATATTTATTTCAACATCTTTGGTCTTATGGGATCAGAGTTTCCATGATTAATTTTTTTGCCCCTTCTGTTTGTTCTGCTATTTTACAGCTTTGAAAAAAATTTACTTGTGGAATAACACATTAAAAATAAAAAAAAGATAGCAATGAAAACCCATCAGAGGCCTCAGAGGCCATTCCTACAAGTTCCTAAATTGAAAAACTGGCTTGTGTCAGCCCTTAAGTTAAATTAATGCTTCGA